TTTCAAGACAGGCAGTCGCTCTAATCTCAAAAGACACAAGGCAATCTTTCTGTCCTTGAGGTTCTTTAGATTTCATTCAATTTCACTCAATTTCATTCTGTGCACGATAAAGCCAAGTAGGCTAGTTGAACAAGAATGATATTTGCAGGAATTATGGCGTCATCATGGGGTTCTTAACGCAAATTCATTCAACAACCAGATAAATATATTTCAAACCAGTCGTTGGGATCTCTAACCATTCAGTCAATTTATAAATATCTACCGACTTCTTTATTGGTTTTAAATGTAAAACATCTTAAAAAATGATAATGGATTCATATTTCTACGGCGGAATTCTTTTTTTTTTTTTTTTTACTGATGTCTATGAAAACAAAGTCGTTAATAGTTTTTAAGAACTAAAATGTGTATGTATATTTTCCATCAATTATTTATTCTACTGTCAATGTTGACAATAGAGATAACAGCAATTATTACCACCTGGGCGATAATCATGGATTCCCCAAGAACTCATTAAATATTCCATCATCACAGAATGTCAAAGTATGGACATTTTTGGAAAAGTTAACTCTCACGGGGCAAAAATGATAGGACAACCCAGTGAGACATTTACCTGATGAGCCAGTGTCAATGGATGGCGAAACGAGGGCGGTGTGGAGTGTCTTTCTTAGCAAAGGGAGAAAAACTTCTAAATGCCGCACAAGATAGAACGTTGTGGAGAGCTATGATAGCCTATATCCTGAAGAGATGGACCACAAAGAAGAAGAAGAAGAAGAAGAAGAAGAAGAAGAAGAAGAAGAAGAAGAAAGATCCTGAGTGAACGAAAGTAAAAAATTAACGAATTTCCTAAGAAGGAAAGGTTATCTTTATCCAGGACTGCATAGCATTTTTCACTATATTATTTTATTCTATTTGAATGGATATTGTAAGAAACTAATTGAAGTTACTTGAACCGTAACGCCAGTCTTACACTACACTATCAGATTTTATTATGTATATCATCAGAGAATTCGTATCAACAATTTATATTGGGGAATGGGACTTTCTGGCATAGGCGTAATGGCGTCACTGATTCGGCGTGGCCGATTTGGCGTAGGCAATTCGACATTGGAATTTTTTGGGAGAGGGACGAGTAGGCGCTAGATTACTACTTCGTCGTTATAGTCAAATTTGCTCTCTCTCTCTCTCTCGTTTAGTAGTCATATTAGTACTTCGTCGATATATGGTCGGATAATCCAATTTAAGGAAAAGAGTAGTTGGAGGCATTTTATATTTAAGAAAAGAAGTAGTTGAGGCATTTTAATATTAAAGAAAAAGAATAGTTGAAGGTATTTTTAAATCATTAAACTTCTCGAAAAGATAATCACTGAATATCCACCCCCCAAAAAGCTAAATATATATATATATATATATATATAGAGAGAGAGAGAGAGAGAGAAGCTGATGAACGAATAAAAAATGTCACAATGGATGTTGAATCATTAGATCCAATTGAATTCCTGAAGGGTATTGCTCGTAATTACGAAATGAAGAAGTAATTTCCAAGATTAAATAACTTTATTAAGTTTTTAACTTTTTATTGAAATATAATATTATTAATTTAAGTTTTTAATTTACATTATCCCTTTAGTGTTTTAATAGGATCCTTAATTCCCTAAATGAATAAAAATTCATAGTGATTGTTGGGGTTTTTTAATGCTTTTATCCTTTTTGAGGGGATTGCCTCCCATCAAATATAGTGACGTCGAAACAGCCTGATGCCTATACGGCTGTGCCGAATAGTCTAATTAGTTTTATGGCGCCGAATCAACTATGGGCTATGCCGAAACAGCGACGCCAAATGGGCTACGCCGAAATAGCAGCGCCAAATGGGCTAGGCCGAAACAGCGACATCAAATGGGCTACGCCGAAACAGCGACAGCAAATGGCTACGCCGAAACAGCGACACCAAGTGGCTACACCGAAACAGCGACGCCAGATGGGCTACGCCGTAACCCTCTATATTGACACGAAGTTAAAGTAAACGGTAATATATTGAAAAATTCTCGGACATTCAGACCGGTAAATGTTGTTTAATACTGTTTATTATAAACAGAGCATTTACTTTAATATTTGTATCTATAAAAAGAATGTAAAAACATAAAAATGTCTTAAAATAATTGTCGGACTTTGTCCATTTCCTAATGTGTGGCGTCATTTGTTTACATTTGGATACGCTATGAGCAAATATGAATGTACGTGGGGGAAACATGGAAGATTGTAGGTTAAAGACAGTAAAATCTCTGTGGCTCAATCGGTTAAAGGCACGCCAGGCTATATGACGGTTCCGTATAGGGTACAGGTTCGATTCCTGTCGCAGAACGTATATTTTCCATGAAAATGTTGTTTAATACTGTTTATTATAAACAGAGTATTTACTTAAATATTTGTATCTATAAAATTAATGTATAAACATAAAAAATGTCTTAAAATAATTGTCGGACTTTGTCCGTTTCATAATATGTATATATATATATATATATATGGAAAAGGTCATAGTTGTTCCAACGAGAGAAAAATGTCATACTTTAACAAAAGAGAAAAACTGCAAACGCTTGAGTTTTCTCTTTTTTTTAATATATATATTGTGTGTATATGTGATATTTGCATGGGTGTGTATAGAGTATATGACAGAGCAAGATCTTTAATATTACCTTGAGATATTACCCCCTATTAATTTAACTAAAATTTAAGTAAAAGAAATTACCTATCTAGAAACAGTCACGAGTTAAATTCATGAACAAAATTCAAACGGATAGAGATGTCAACTTAATAACAATAATAAAATTTTTAAAGAGATTAAAAAAAGATTACTAGAAGTAAACTTATATTTTAAAATAAAATTTTATTCTTTTAATGTACTTTCTATGAATATTTTTCTAATCGACTATTTCATAGAAAATACCCAAAATTAAAAAAAAAAAAATTAAATCACTAACAAACATCAAATTAAATTATTTGTAGACAGTCTAGAGACATTCAAATTTATATCAAACATTATAATCTTTATGAACCCCCAAAATAACACTTTCAAAGTAAAGCAAAATAACAGCTTCTGTTTCTAGCCTTTTTTTTTACAAAGAAAATTAGTGACATCTTCTCTCATAACTTCCTTCCCTCTTTTTTTCTCTATGGGTTTTTTCTTGTCTACCCCTTCGATATCAATATATAACTTCTGTTAAGTTAACCGTTTAAATGTGTCAATATCTGCTAACTCACTCATGTCTTCTCTCTCCCCCCTCACTTCCTCACTTCGTTAATTTACATATGTTTAATACGGCCCGTCAAAAATGTGTAAATTTTCTTTTCATTTTTTGTTTGGAAGTAAAGTCTGATGATCCGCAGTCCTTTTAAAAGGCTGTGGTGAAGTAATTTATTACACGAAACCTTAAAGTGGTTTGTTTTTATTTAAATTATTTGCTCTGGATTTACATTGAGCTCTCTGGATTTTATCCTCCTTAGGTTTACCCATACGGATTACCTAGTTTTTCTTAATCTATCTATCTATCTATCTATCTATCTATCTATCTATCTATCTATCTATCTATGTCAGCAGGCACTTAGCTTTGGAGCCGGTAGAATGGAGATCACTGTGTTTTAGTGGACTCAGCAATTTTCAATCCGCTTGTCTGAATCATTTTCATGAAGCGAGAGCAAGATCTAAAAGGTCCACAAATCTAACAGTGATCTCATCTCACATTCCTCACACTTGCTCCATATGTGTTCTCCTTTGTAAATCACTGGCAGGTCTTAAATGCCAGTTAAGATTATCGCACAAACGTTCATGACTGAATCAATAAACTGTCAGATCCTCATACGTCGAAACCGACGGGAGAGCCCATTATATATATATATATATATATTTATATATATATATATATATATATATAGAGAGAGAGAGAGAGAGAAGCACTTAGGGCATATTATGGATATTATCATATGGGAGGCACGATGAAGTAGTGGATAGCTGCTAGGATTGAACAATCGGAGAGCCGAGTTCGAATTCCACTCGAAACCATTACATTCATTTACGTGCTAATACCCTTGGGAAACGATATTAATCCTCTTCTCTCTTCAGCTAGCAGCAGAGCCTGGGTTTTATAGCCTTGGATGGCAACTGGTCTAGGAGAAAGACAACTTTGAAATCTAAACCTGCGGAGCGTCGCTTGTGGCATGTAGTGTACCCGGTCTCTGTATTCAGGCCCTTCAAAAAGTGTGGTTGGTTCTGCCCAAAACCTTCACCACTATAATCCAATCATACGTACTGCTGTCTGGCTGTCGATTCCTAGCAACTGAGCTGCCTGACCCTCACACGTCGAATACAACGGCAGAGTCAACCATGCAATTATGACAACGTTTTTAAATTCGGATAAATATGAGATGAATAAAAGTAATTAATAAAAATAAACCAGTTATGTCATTATAATAAGAGTTTTATGACAGAAAGCAGTTATGTTCTTACTGTTAAACAATATTCATGTCTGGTAGTTTTCCTTCTGTATATTTACCTTATTAGTTCAAGGAAGGATATACGCCTTGTCATTAGTGTTTTTGAATTGCTAATATCACTAAAATTGCCATTTTCGGGGACAATTGTTCTGTTATTTATTTATTGTTCATATCTTTATATCTATCCATTCCTGTTTCTTAATGTGTTTCTTTGTTTATCTATCTATCTATCTATCTATCTATCTATCTATCTATCTATCTGATATGTCCCGGAAAGGGGTATATTTGATCGAAGTAGCTAAGTGGGTTTGGCTACTGTAACCAAGTAGTACACGGTAGCAGTAATCGACTGGTACTCGTCATAGTCGCAGGTCGTAGGTGGAGACCAATAGGATAGCCAATGGCGTAGTCCAATGGGCGTCGTTATAGACTTGAACTCTGTCGTACTTACATGTCCGTCTGTATTTATGACGGACGCTAGTCAATCATATTCCATGGAGGGGGAACTCAGGTGTATGCATATTCCATATCACTATCTATCTATCTATCTATCTATCTATCTATCTATCTATCTATCTATCTATCTATCATGCTGTTATAATCTATCTATGATTAAATAATGTAAAACTATCATTTAACATGTTTCGTTATGAATTTTGCTTCATCAGACATTTTGTAAGTGGAATAATGCTAAGTTATTTCGACTTTTAAAATTCTATGATGTTTTGTTTTCATTAGCTGCATAGGCTCCGCATGTTCACATTTGCGACATTAGTATGTATGTATGCATGTAAGTATATATGAAATGATGGCTGCATGTTCTTGTGATGTAATGGATAGCGGCTCGGTATAGGAGAGCCGAGTTTAAATTCCAGTTGGATTTGTTGCATTCACTTATATGTAAATGCTCTTGAGAAAGGTTTGAATTAATCCCCCCTCCTTGCCAGAGATAGAAGGCCTGACTAGCCGCTATTGGCAACTAGGAGATAGAAATGTATGAATTCAATGATGACTTAATTTATAAGCAATGGTCAAATTCTTCTAAGGAATAAACAGTTATCATGTAAGTATGCATCAGTTTTGTTGCGAGAAAGTTACCATTTTACATTTTGGCTTCTGTATGTGTTCTACCTTTATTCATATCTATCTATCTATCTATCTATCTATCTATCTATCTATCTATCTATCTATCTATTATTGTTTTCAAACATCTATCTATCTATCTATATATCTATCTATCTATCTACCTATTTCTTATTGTTTTCAAATATCTATCTATCTATCTTATTATTTTCCAATCTATCTATCTATCTATCTATCTATCTATCTATCTATCTATTATTGTTTTCAAATATTGTTGAAACTTGACTAATGCATGGAATAATAATGCAACACAAAATGTACTTAGAACAAAATGTATTGAAACAAGAAGTGTACACAATATTTACATATAGTCTTTTGTATATTCCTGGTAAGACCGTTCCTGGAGAATGTGTTGACTGAGTCGCAGTCGGGCAGAGTCTCTGGGTGAATCTCTTGATTCTTCCCTCTCTTCCCGGTACCAACCATATTTATACGGTCGGTACTCCACTATGCAAATTAGGTGGATCCTACCACAACAAATATCTATCTATCTATCTATCTATCTATCTATCTATCTATCTATCTATCTATCTCTTATTTTTTTCAAATATCTATCTATCGCTCATTGTTTTCAAATCTATCTATCTATCTATCTATCTATTATTATTATTATTTTCCAATTGATCTATCTATCTATCTATCTATCCATTTAGCTATCTATTTATATTTAATCATATATGTTATATCTATTAATTTATAACTGTAATGCTTTTAGCAAAATATTAAGCTGATTCTTATTTCGATTATCTTGTCAAGGATTTCCGACAGAAAAAAAAATCTGTGTTTGAGATTTTAAGTTTTTTTCTTCTTCTCTATGACAAAATATATATTTTTGCAGTTCTGTAATCTGCAAGTAATATTCAATGAACTTTCCCACAAATTCTTATATCAGAACCTTCAAAGGTCTGCAGAATGATGAATGGCGAAATAAAAAAATTACGAAGAGATAAAACATATTCTCGCTGATGGAAACATGCTAAATATTTCATTGTAAAACATGATATTTCATTAAGGCTTAGAAATATACAGTTCGAAAAACGCGAAGAAATCACATTTAATCATTTTCAGAATATTAAACAGGAAGCAGAATATACGTGGCATATATATTAATTAAATAAAACGATAACGTACAAGATAAATCAATATACAAGTTACGATTGGAAAAGTGTCGCCATTTTATATAATTTTAATTTCGCGCATGCGTGTTGTTTGCTTTTTATTTTGTCGACTGTGCAGTATAGTCGGCTCAGTTGGTCACCGTCTGTGAGAAACAATTTACTCCGCAAGAAATTTAAAAACAGCAAGCTGTAATGCTTGACATTCGCACAGGAAGCTCGAGTACGAACATTTCAGAGTGTTCAAGTATCAATCTGAGGAGAGTGCAGAGGATACGGAAAAAGTAGGATGAGTTTAGCGGAGATTAAGAAGGTGTTTAGAGCGATCTCTAGTGATGGCAACGTTATGCCTCCATTCATCATCCCACAGTACCTCAGACTCAACACAGAGCCCTACATCAAGTACCTTGAGGTGATAGTGCTGCCCGTGGCCAAGAGGGTGGCTGGAGGAAGACCGTATATGTGGCAACAGAACTCTGCAGCATGCCACACAAGCAGGAGAACCCAGTCACGGCTGTCAGACAATTTCCGCGTCAGCATCACACTTTACGTCTGGTCAGCTAACTCCCCAGACTGCAACCCCCCCTTGATTATTATGTGGGAGGCGAAGTTTGGCGAGAGACAACAAAATTCCTTGTAACATCAAAGATGAATTGAAGGCAAGGATTATGGCAGCATTCACCAACTTAAACATGGAGACCGTCCAGAAGTATTGCAGGAAATTCGCAAGTCGTCTGGAGGCCGTGTCACATATATATATATTCTCCTCATCTATGATTGATTAATATGCTTTTTACGGATTATCAACACATTGCAATCAGAAATACGTTTTCTAAGGATATTTTTGAAGTAACAATGGCTTGCTGATACAAGCGCTACTATGTAACCCATAGCTGGGGGAAATGCGGATTCATATGTTTTCCCAAAGTTACTTGTGAGTAAGTGAATATAACGACTGGAACGGGGACTCGGCTCTCCGATTTCCAATTCCGAGCCGTCATCCATTAGGCCATGTGCTTATCTGAGCTTAGAGCACCTGGTATTCCCAAGCACTCACCGGTCTACGTACTAACCAGGCTCGATTTCGATGAACAGAGAAGAACCAGTGTTTCAACGTGCTAGGACCCTAAGCCTTTCACTTCTATGAGTATAGATTAGATGAGAATCGGAAACAGTGGTAAGGACGCAAAGCCAATTAACTTGAAATAACCCGCGCGTGCACCAACCTTGTCACTTTAGCAGTTTAAAAATGCGTCCAGGGAAGTTTGCCTACATTGATTTTGTTCTAGTGAAATTGCCTTTTTTTTGTGATGAAGCCAGATAATCAGCGAAACGTAAACATTTAAATATTTTTAACAAAACTTTATCTATCTATCTATCTATCTATGAATAAAAATAAAAGAAGAATCTACCTTCGGCAATGTGTTTCGTAGCCTGGAGGACGTTATTAAGGTATATGAAAGGACTTATAATTTTGTGGCAAGTATTTACATACAAGTGCAAATTTTTATTTTTTTATTTTTTAGGTATATAAGTGCTCATGAATATTCATCAGATTATCTAGCTATCGTACTAAGAGGGAAAGGAATCATTAATATTTGCTAGAGAAAATGGTTGCTTTATCATTTAGTGTTGTATAAATAAAAACATGTAGCAAATTATATATAAGTCAAATAAAAACATGTAGCAAATTATATATATAAGTCAAATAAAAACATGTAGCAAATTATATATAAGTCAAATAAAAACATGTTGCAAATTATATATACGCCAAATAAAAACATGTTGCAAATTATATATAAGTCAAATAAAAACATGTAGCAAATTATATATAAGTCAAATAAAAACATGTAGCAAATTATATATAAGTCAAATAAAAACATGTAGCAAATTATATATAAGCCAAATAAAACATGTATCAAATTATATATAAGTCAAATAAAACATGTAGCAAATTATATATAAGTCAAATAAAAACATGTAGCAAATTATATATAAGTCAAATAAAAACATGTAGCAAATTATATATACGCCAAACAGTCGTTCATTTTAAAACGCTGATTGCTGATTTTTAATGAAGCATTCTGTATTTTTTCGGCATTTCTTGTTATTTCAGTTGTGATAATTAAATTACATCTTCTTTTTCCGTATCATGTACTTTCAGAACACGTGCGATCATGGCACTCCACAACATCCTGATTTTTTTCCTTGCTTTATCTCTTGACTATTTGCCACCTTTCTTTGTCCATGTCGTACTATTCATTCACTCTAATTCGTCGCATGTGTTCCTCCTTTTCCCTACGCCCTTCTTGTTTTTCAGTATATCCTCTCTTTTATCATAAGATGTTCCAGAAATTTCAGCTGCCTCTTTTTGATCGTGCGTGTCCTTTTTGTTCTTGATTCTTTAAAGACGTCCTCGTTCTTTTCATAGTATTTTTAGCATGCATCGATCGAAATTACATCTTTCTAATGAAGAATCTCCTTCATCTGTGAGGAAAGTAGTGTCTAGCATTCACCGATCTATCTATCTATCTATCTATCTATCTATCTATCTATCTTCTTCTTCTTCTTCTTCTTCTTCTTCTTCTTCTTCAATGTACCAGGTCCCTTAAGGACGTCAACGATCATGGCTCTGCACAAATCCCTTTACTTTGTAGCACTTTTCTTCTTTTTGCTACCTTTCCCAAAAGCTGTTTTGACATCCATTTACACACTCACGTCACATAGCTTATGAATTCGTACCCTCTGTCACTTTTGCCTTCAATATATCTTTCGAATCCCTTTTCTTCATTCTTAAAATAAAATAAACCCAACCCTAACATGTTAGCAACAAGGAAGTTTTAGAGAAAATGGAAACAAAAAGGACATGCTTAAAATCAGAAACTGAGAGTTGAAATTTTCTGTCGTAGAAATTTCAATGGTCAGTTTCTGAGTTTAAGCATATCATTTTGTTTCCATTTTCTCTAAAACTTCCTCGTCGCTAACATGTTCGGGTTGGGCTTATTTTATTTTAAGGCATATCAACCTCAATTTACTACCGACATGATTTTTAGAATATATTTGTTTGTTTGCGGCATATCAACGTCTTATGGGTCATTTAATTTCGAAGTTTAGTTTTCTTGGGAGCGTTAATAATTACTCTTACAAACATGTATTGCTGGTAATTTATATTTTTTCAAAAATGTACTGCTGGTACATTTACAATAAAAAAAATATTTTTATACTTTCATAGTGTTTTGACCCCGATTTTGGGGTTGACCTTTTGCCCATAGCTGGGGCCCTAACAGGTGCTACCACCCCGGATCAGTTTGGATCTGATTACAACAGCAATTAAAAGGTGGTGTCATGCTCCTCAAAATGTCCCGATCAGAGGTCTTGCTGCCGGATGTAGTTTATCGTTATATTCAGGAAAGTTTCTTGTTCGGTCCATAGTATTCTCAGTGTTATTCTTGTATAGCCACATTTCCCTTGCTTAAAGTCTCTTCTTAATTTATGAGGCGATTGTCCAGCATTCAGTGCCATATAAGAGGATTGATATTATATAGCAGTTCAGCAATCTTGGCTTTGTTTCTAATGAAATTTTCCTGTTTTTAATACTTTGCTCAGCTTTTGGAAGGCATGTTTCGCTATTCTAATGTATCTTCGATGTACGGTGTTGCTCTTTCTGTCCGCTATTGAAAAACTTTCCAGATATTTAAATTGTTGTAATTGGTTGACATTGGTATCACCAATTTTTAATTTCTGTATTGAGGAACACTGTCATATAGAATATTAACTATTTACATAGCACTTGAGTATTCTTTATCTATTTCTAAGCTTATTTTATGAAAAGTTTTTTTTTCATTGTTCCTATCACGCCCACTCGGATTTCTGTATCACATTTTTTATCGTCTCAGGAAAACTATAAATACTTTTGGCGTCTCTTTTGTTCCTACAAATTCAATTATAGCCGGCGATTATAGCAACAGAATTTGTTGACTTAATGACCTAATTAAATCTTTGTTGACCGCTAAGAAGCATTTACAACCGTAGTTAAATGAATCTAATCGGATGTACTGGTTAATTGTCTGAATTTCTCACTCTAAGTATTTTCCTAATAAATTCCTTCCTCATTTATCTAATATATTATCGATTTTTATCGTAACGCCGCTTCGTTAACGATTGTAGAATATAATTCTAATTTACTATATAAAAACAATAACAAAAAGATAAGCGTAACAAAAACTAATAAGAAAATATGTGCCCAATGCAGGCAGCTTAAAAGGAAAGTCTATTCCAACAAGTAAACGACATGCCTCCAAGAAAGTGAAGTTACCAAAGATTTCATACTGCTGGTTCGCTTCCCTGACCAAGTTGGTAAACGAGCTATCCATGTATAACAGGCTTCAATTGACATGGACTGCAAGTTCATATCTCTTTAGAAGCTACTAGCAGTAGAGCCCGACGTTGCCCGAAGATGTAACAGTAAGAGATAGATCAAGTATCGACCATCATAAAGACTGAAAAATAAAATTGACAAAGATTATTGTTTAAGGTTG